GAGCCACAGACACTCACATCACGAGTGGGAGACACGCACACCCCATGAGTGGGAGCCACGCAGATACCCACAGACGTACACTCGCACGCCGTGAGAGAGGCACGCACCGATGCACACGTACACAGGCAAATGCACCATGAGTGTGAGCTACAGGTGCCCATGCACACACACACACCATCAGTGGGAGCGCCACGCCCCCCTCATGTGCACACACACACACACACACACACCATGAGCGAGCACCGCAAGCACGGCCCACGGTGACACGCATGCACGCACGGTCATGGTGACACGCATGCCAGCGGGGTGAGGCACAGCCGGTCTCCAGGGGCGCACAGACCATGATGACACCCCCCCCAGCACTGAGACAGCCCCACCTGCAGCCCATGATGACACACACACGTGTGCAGTCATGGCAACACACATGCCAGCCAGCTGACACGCACCCCTGCCTCACACAGTATGACCTCATACCCAGAGGCACACCGAGCATGAGGTCACACGCACACACCCACACGTGCAAACACCCCATCATGGTGATCCAGCCAGACCTGCCCTGTCCCACCCCAGGCTGTGATTATACCATGACATCAACTGGCACCAACACATGCTCACCGCCTGACACGCGTGCTCCTATGGTGGTGACAGGTGCTCCCCTTCCCCGGGGGGACAGGCGGGGGTCCTTCCCTGGGCTGTAGCAACCCAGGACAATCAGGACCAGCTGCCCTCGGTGCCCAGGTCTGCCCTGGCCAGGCTGATTGCGCCGAAAGAGCAGCCTGGGGCTGTCTGCATGGACCGTGGGTGCAGGGGGGCGGAGGGCTGGGAGCAGGGCCCCTCGGGAGGCTCTGCCCGTCCCACCCAGCCTCGTCATGCCCAGCTGCCAAGTGTGACCCTGTGCCACCCTCGCCCGCACAGATGAGCATGACCATGCTGAAGATCCTCGGCACAGCTCCGCTCCGCAAGAAGCGGCTGGACTCGGGAGAGGCCCCGGATGCCGAGAGCCCCAAAGCCAAGCGCCCGCGCCTGGGCCCACTGCCGGGATTCGTGCCCTGCCTACAACCTCTGGCCCCATCTCGCAGCAACGAGGAGCACGACGCGAGGGTCCTGCAGATCGGGCCGTACGTCCTGCTGGAGCCCAGGGACGGGGGCCGCTCCTACCGCGCCGTGCACCGGCCCACGGAGGCCGAGTACAGCTGCAAGGTACGGAGGTCCAAGAGGGCTCTGGAGCTCGGGTCACGCATGCGCTGGCACTTCCCGTGGACTGGCTCTGCCAGGGGGGTGTACCGGGGCAGTGACCCTGCATGGCCCGGGGTTAGCAGGCCTCTCCACCCCTGGCTGCATGTGGAGCCTCCCTGCTTGGCCTGGGCGAGAACTGGACTTCCCTAGGAGGACGGGGCAGGGAAGGCAGCTGAGCCCACCCCGCTCCTGGCGCCTTCATGCCCACCCTCACTGCCCCCAGGTCTACCCGATGAGGAGCTACCAGGAGGCGATGGCCCCGTACGGACGGCTCCCGCCGCACCCCAGCGTGGCCCGGGGGGGCGAGGCGGTCCAGGGAGACCG